GGTTGTCGGGTCCGGGCGCCTGCAGTCCCGTTCATAGAGAGGCCCGCTTAAACCGAGGCATCCCAGGTGCGTCTCCAGGACTAGGCACTTCCGGGTGCAAGAGATGGCGTCCAACAACATCCTCGACTGACTGAGATTGTCTTTCACATCGCGTGAAAATCATGCGAAATGAAATTAAATGGATGGATGTATTTCATCGCGGTTTGTTTCGCGTCGCGTTTCGTTTGGCCGCGGATGCTAATGGCGACATAGGTCGCTGAGATGCCGCCGGCTGTCGGCCGTTGGCACACGCAGTGTTTTCCTTGCCCTTTGCATTACATTGACTGCGTCTCCGTGCTCTCAAACGGTTATTCGTGGTGTGACGTTGCGGCAGTCCCGGGCAGAGGTCAGGGCCGACCTCAGTTTCCGACCGCGAGGCTACCGCATGTATGATATTGGCTCAACCGCATTCATCCAGTCATGCGAGTAATCCCTCGAGTTGATGCTGCTGGCATCATCAGGGGGCCAACTTTCACCCGCACCAGCTATTTCTGGTAACGAGGGTTCGAGAGCAACGACCGATCCCAAAACGTCCCGCCAACCGTATTCAAAGGGCTGGCCTGGAGCGCCGCTGAAAAACAGGGCACTGTGGCACGTGCCGGGCCGGCTTGTTTGCCGGTTCCGCTTCCTCGTGCGGGCACAGGTGGACCCGCGCCGCCCGCCTGTTTGCCAATCCATATTTTTGTCATTTGCGGGAGGCGTCAGGAGGGTGGCTCGTCGCTGGCCGCACCAAAACAGCGCCCGGTCCCGTCGGTGGCGACGACAGCGCCTCCCGCGGCGGCGGCCGGCAACGGAGCCCGTCGGGGGTGCCGGCGCCGTTAACGTGTTAATTGCGGCGATGGCTGCAGGTACCCGGCAGCTAGCTCCGCATGGAGCCGGTCGGCAGGTGAAACCGATAACGAAACACTGATAGGGCGCCTCACAGCACCCAGGGAGTGGTATGGTATACCTGTACCTGTATGCCCACTGTGCGCCTGCTTGGTCCCGTGAGGAGAGGAGTGCAATAAGAAGCGGAACCGCCCGCCGCCAGGGCTGGAAACTTTACAGAAAAAACTACAAAGCACGTTTTCATTGAGCGTAGCATTGCATAGCTTGTTAAGTATCTCTGAAATAATGCTTTATGAGTATGTCACCTATTTTCAGGAATATCAGTGGTATAGCTCACGTTAAGCCTGTTGTGTATGGAGAATGTGGGGATGTTTCTTTTGAAGTGACATTAAGTCCTGAGAATTGAAAACTCACTTACCTTGCGGTGCTCTTTAAGAAGGGAAAGTAAAGCAAATAAGTATGTGCAAAAAAGAGTGCGTGACACTCAGAGCGATGGTCCTCCAGATTTACCGGATATGTCTATGTAGTGATGCTTTCTTTTTTGGTTGCGTCATTGCCAAACTGTCTATAGACGGTGTCAGTACCACCTACAGAGGATGATGGCATCAATGAAGGATGTCATCCCTGATGAAATTTGTATGTGACATTTATGGCGTCGAAAGGACGGACCTAAAGTAATCCTCCCCTCATCCCATCGATGATTTGCCACTGTCGACCTTAACTACGGAAGACGTCTTTAGGTATAATGACATTTTAGTTGTGCGTGGATCAAAATTGAAACAATGACTTGTCTGCCGCGTCAGCGACCTGTCGCTTGAGGGCAGATCGCAGGTCGACGCTCCCCACCTCCGGACCACCTCTCGATCTCTGTTTTCCGTGCCCCCCCCCCCTCCCCTTTTGTCCCCTCTGCCGGCGGCCGGCGACCCGTTGGGTCCTGTATGACGCCACCCAGGGGTCAAAAATCGGCTCACTGTAACGCGGAAGTGCGTCGTGCGTGTTTTCCGCGATTTTACCGGCCGAAGGCCCGCCTGTTTACGTGGCCCACTTTTGCGCGGGAGGGCGAAAGTGCGCGCGCATGAAAGGGGAGCGGCGTGCGGCTGCCGGCCCGTGCGTGTGCGTGAATGGCCGATAACCGGGTCGAGCGACGAGGTGAACGGATTCCGGACAAACAGTTCCGCGTCCTGCGTGCGGCGTCCGCGCCGGAGGGCGAGCCGGGCGACCGCTACCCGGTGGCGCGGCGCTGGTGCGGGCGGAGAGAAGGCGCGCGCGCCGTCAGAGCGCCGGGCCGCGCCAGGTACCGGATCACTGAGTGCCGGGCCTCACGGGGTACCGGACCAGGGCGTGTGCCGGGCCAGACGAGACGGGACCAGGCCAGAGACCAGACCAGATGAAACGGGACCAGGGCGCGTGCCGGACCGGACGAGACGGGACCAGGGCGCGTGCCGGAGCAGATGAGGAGGGACCAAGGCGCATGCCGGACCAGATGAGGCGGAACCAGGCCAGAGACGGGACCAGACGAGACTGGACCAGGCCAGAGACCAGACCAGACAAGACGGGACCAGGCCAGAGACCGGACCAGACGAGACGGGACCAGGCGAGAGACCGGAGCGGACCACGCTGCAAATTACACGAACACTTACCTATATACCAGAGAGTATTGCAGACTGGAGTGTGAAACAAACGGTAGTGACAAGCCGTTAAGACAAAGAAGCGCGAAATTCGGCCACTCATAGCTTTTTTCCGTCCGACGTAAATCAATTCGTGAATAACTGAAGTATAAAATGGGAAGCATAGATGAGGACAGCTTATACCCGGTCTCTTAGTGTTTTCATTAGCAGCTTATGAGGATATAAAAGGGCGATTCGGGTGAACACAGCGTTGGCACGGGAGGTATTTCTCTGATTTTTTTTTAGAATAAGGTAGAAATCTGGCGGAGTACACACACCTGACCGCAGAAAAAAGCAGGCAGTTGACAACTGCATCCCACAAACGCAGGTGAACAGATTGCATTGCAATGCGCAAATGCCGCAAACGACAAGCAAACAGCTGACAACGGGCAAGTACGTACTGCACATTGGCTTATCAAATCACGGCACATGGTGCCACAGACCCCGACCCAGCTAGTTGTTGCAAGCTCACAGCGGATACCAGGTATACCTGGGTGGATACTACATGATGTATTTATCAGCGTAACGCCATATCAGACCCCAACGCTTGATAAAGCGGATTACTTCCAAAGAAAACAGCCACGGGGTCAAGGGATCACAAGGGTCACGATCAGGAGGGGTCTCGCAGAACGCAACCCAAAGCCCTTGTTCACCGTTCCTACATATGTGCTCTGTACTTGGATGGCTGGCACCCTGAGATCCGAGACGCAGGACCGCGTACGACGCACATCGGACTCTCACCAGTTTAGCGTACATTCCGGCTTACAGGCGACATGCGCATCGGCTTTCCCAGGTTTCGGCTCCGGGAGATTGACGTCATTGGTACAAAACACGAACTTTAGCTGGCTCGATATCGTTCCGGCGCAACATTGATGATATCACCTCGGCTTGACGTGTTTTTTTTCTCTGACCACCGGTCGCTCATTGACTAGTCTGAGACATGGCAGCTTCCTGCTCCGCCATCCATGTTTGTCGGTACCGAGCCCGACAGCTTGGGTGCAAATAGCTACGACACCCTTCTTGCTGCTAGGATGGATGACCGCGCGTGGGAGGGAGGACCTTACCAGCACGCACGGCACATCCACGTCTGTTGCTGACCCCCATTTCATGAAAAAAAAATACTCGGGGACATCAACGTGTGACCAGCTGACCTCATAACAACACAGCGATGCTCTGGGAAAGTTCGCTAGCTTTAATGGACTGCTCGACCAGTTGAATTCATAACAACACGGCGATGCTCTGGCAAAGCCTGCTAGCTTTAGTGGACTGCTCGACCAGTTGAACTCACAACAACACAGCGATGCTCTGGCAAAGCTTGCTAGCTTTAATGGACTGCTCGACCAGTTGAATTCATAACAACACGGCGATGCTCTGGCAAAGCTTACTAGCTTTAATGGACTGCTCGATCAGTTGAATTCATAACAACACAGCGACGCTCTGGCAAAGCTTGCTAGCTTGAACGGACTGCTTCCTCTTTTTATATACAAGTTTGTCTTTTTGTTAACCTCTCACATATAACTATGGCCTTCAAATTCGCTAACTTAATCTACAGTAATGTTTTAAGCACTAAGAGTGAAAAGCAGTGTGAGCTTGTATACAGTGATAAGCCCAAGCATGCATCATTTATGGACAAAGTCTGCGAAAGCATGTGCTTAAGTCAAGAAGTGCCGACTACCAACTTTACATTGCCGGTATGAAAAGAAAACTGCTGTGAAGTACCTATTTAACCACTTGTGGGCTCACTCATATCTGAGTTAACATACAGTTGGCGGATAGTCAAAGTTGGCACTAGTATAACTGACATTCCTTTATTTTCCAGGTCTTCTCCATCACCACAAGCCTTAACTCGATGCTGGAGGAGCCGCTAAAGATGGGCTCCGGCCTCGAGCACACGCACGGCGGCGCGGCCGGCGCGTACCAGAGCTCACTGCGTCCGTCGCCGCCACCGCCGGCGCCGCCGCCGCCGGCACCGGCGGCGCTAGGTGCGCCTTCCCCGCCGCAGTACCCGCCGCTGGTGGGGCGGCCGGCCGAGCCGGGCGCGCCGCCAGAATCGGCCGACGCCCACTACGCTGCCCAGTACGGCTATCCGGCCGCGCTGGGCGCCTACCCGGCCGCTGCGTACGCCGACAAGCCCCGCGGCGACGAGTCCAACGGCGACGGCCCGCCGCACCGGCCGCTCCCGACCGCGGACTCGAACGGCTTCAGCGGTGTCGGCGGCGCCGGCCGTCCGGCGCCGCCGCTGGACGAGTCTCCCGAGCCGCCGGCAGCCGAGCGCGGCTCTGGCGGCGGCGGCGGCGGCGGTGAGGGCGGCGAGCGCGCGCCGCCAGCGCCACCTGGCTCGCCGCCGCCGGAGCGGCACCGCGCCGACTCGGTGCTGCGGTTCGGCGAGCGGAGGCCGGCGCCGGCCTCGCCGCCGCCGGAGCCGGGCCGGCAGCCCTCGCCGTCGCCGGAGCACCGGAGCACGAACGGCAGCGCCGAGCCCGACGGCCGCTCGTTCGGCCCGGCCGAGTACGACCTGGCCGGCGACGAGCCGGAGCGGCCGGCGGACGAGCTGGATCCGGCGGCGGACGAGCTCGGCGGCGACAGCCCAGGCGAGGCGAACGGTGGCGGAGGGCCCGGACTAAACGCCTTGCAGCGGCTGCAGCATGCGCTGGAGAAGAACGGCACGTTTAATGTGTATGGCGACGAGGCCGGTGGCGTGGGTGGCACAGAGATCTACCAGTGCCACCTCTGCTCCTACACGGGTAGCTCCAAGTTCCATTTCAGCCAGCACATGCACTCACACTACGACTTCAAGTGTTCGCAGTGCGACTTCAGCACGCACTCGAACGTCAGTCTGAAGGATCACATGAAGGAGGAGCACAACATCGAGATCAAGGACTACATGGACGAGCCGGGCGTACGGGTTCCGAGGGTGAACGCTTCGGGCAAGGTGCGCCTGCACAAGTGCAAGTTCTGCGACTTCAAGACAGCCACGCAGGTGGAGCACTGGGAGCACCTGAAGAGCCACATCGCGCCGGAGAAGCGCTTCTGGTGCCACGTCTGTCCCTTCATCACTGACGTCAAGCACCACCTCACGTACCACCTCCGCAACCACTTCAACTCAAAGCCTTTCAAGTGCAACAAGTGCGAGTACTCCTGCGTCAACAAGTCGATGCTGAGTTCTCACATGAAGTCCCACACCAACTTCTACCAGTACCGCTGCGGGGACTGCAACTTCGCCGCGAAGTATGCCAACGCCTTGAAGAACCACTTGCGAAAAGAGAAGCACCGCCCGGGAATGGTTCTGAATCCAGATGGCTCCCCAAACCCCTTCGTCATCATCGACGTCTACGGCACGCGCCGCGGTCCCAAGATCAAGAAAGATGACAACGGCATGCCGATCCTACCCTCCTCACTGCAGGAGAACTACGTCAGCTTCATTCAGACCCAGAACAAGTACATCACCAGTCCCAACAGCCAGTGTGCCGGCTTCTCCTCTCCGTATATCAAGGCCGAGCCGACGATGGAGGGACCCGAGTCGAAGCTGGCGCTGCCGCGTGGCTTCATCCGCTGCGACATGTGCCCGTTCAGCACCGCCGACCGCGACCAGCTGACCAAGCACATGATGAATCACATGACGCCCGACAGCCAGCAGCACGACGAGACGTCACCGGCCTCCTCCAAGTCGGGCGAGGAAAGCCGCGAGCCTGCCGGCGGTCTGGGCCGGATGGAACTGCTGCGCAGTGCTCTGGCGCAGCCGGTGCGCCTGCCGCAGGCCGCATCCCCGCCGCCGCCGCCGCCGCCGCCGCCGCCGCCCCCGCCGCCGCCGCCGGCTTACCGGCGCACCGAGCCGAGTGAGCCGCCGCCGCGGCTGCCGCAGTACGACTCGCTGGCGGCGCACCGCGTTCGCGAGTACTTCAGCCGCGCCCTGCAGTCGCCCTTCCTCTACAACCTGTCGATGGCGGCGGGGCTGAACGGCGGCGCGCCGCCGGCCGGCCTGCCACTGCCGTTCAGCATGGGTCGGCCGGCGCCACCGCCGCCGGCGGCCAGTCCGCCGCACACGCGCGTCTCGCCTCGGCCCAGCTCGCCGCCGTTCTACGAGCGCGCGCCGCCGCAGCGCGAGTCGCCCCAGCCGAGCTCGCCGCCACCTCCGCCGGCCGGCCTCGAGACGGCGCTCGACCTTAGCCGCCTCGGCAAGCGCTCGAGCAGCGACGAGTCGCCGCCGCCGCCGCACAAGCACCGGCGCAAGGGACGCGCCCAGAAGCTGGAGCTGATCTCGCAGCGGCTGCAGAGCGGCGGTTCTCCGCAGCACTCGGTCGGCAGCCGCGAGCGCAGCAGCTCGCCCGAGCGCAGCCTCGAGGAGCCGGCCGACTGGAAGGCGGCCGCGCACACCTGCCATAGCTGCGGCATCGCCTTCAAAGATCTCGTCATGTACACCATGCACATGGGCTTCCACGACTACCGGCGCCCGTTCAGTTGCAACAAGTGCGGCGAGCAGTGCCGTGACGCCATTGCCTTTTTCCTGCACATCGCTCGCGTGCCGCATTCGTCGTGAGGGTTCGCTCGGCCGCCCGCCGCTGCGGTGCCCGCTGGAGCTGGCATCGGCTGGGGCGCACAGCTGCGGGACGCTTTGTGTGCATTTTCGCACGTGGTGGACCGCGCCCGGCTCCCATCGATTTGCCGTGTGTATTTCTGAAAGTACGTTTTGTTGGCTGCCACTGGTGATTTAGCGGCGGTGCGAGGCTTAATAGCCAAACGTTTTTATGCCGTCTTGGGAGTCAGCCTTTCTTTGTTTATGTGTTGGGGAAATCGGTATATTATGGGTGGTTGTCCCTGATTATCTAGTCTGAACTCAGGATGTTTATTGGCTCAACTGTTCTCAGTAGGCTGGGGTATTGAGTGAACCCATTTATTTGTACAAAATACTGTTTAGATGTGCTGAGATGTGCGGCGTGAGTTAGGACCGTCCTACTATTGAGACAACTCAGGGAAATCCAGGGTTTTGACGTGAATGCTTGTGTTAAGTTATGTTTTTTTCCAAGGGAAACACACAGTCATAATCTGGGTTCTTGGTCGTCCGACAGCGCAGTTGTGCCCTGTTTCTGGCTTGCATCCTCGGAAAACGTTCAATACGTAATGTGATCTTGCAATATGCCCCACCGTATTATTTATTCGCACCCCGTGTGTCTCACTGCCTTACATGGTACACATTGTTGTGATTTATCCTCGAAAGGTATGCGTTTTGCAACATTTAACGTGCGATTCCTGGTGTGTCCTCGGTGTAAGGTGATGCTCATCGCTCAGCGAGCTATCAGTTTTCTTGAAGGGGGGGGGGGGGGGACTGCACAGACTGGCCTCATATGCTGTGAGCTCCTCGCAACAGCCTTGAAGCACCATCCGCAGTACAAATGCCTCCACGTCAAAGTAATTACCACTGTGTTAGTAACAGAACGTGCAAAAATACCTCAGCTACGTGTATAGTTGGGAGAGTCGCCTTCTTTCCTCTGTATGGTGTTCAACACATCACAGTCTGGTTTGGTTAGTTTTGGTTCAATGTTCTGAGAGCACAGGAGGTTTTATGACTGTTTTGAAGCAGCCTGCTGGCAAAAATTTCATAGGTCAGCTGTTTCTGTGTTTCCGTGACGTTTCAACTTCCATTCCAAACGGGTTGTTTGGAAAATTTTGGCACGTTTAAGCCTGCGAGCTTAACCGCACATAAACAAGAAACCAGCCAAATGTGTTACTGGCGGTCGTGTTTAACTCTACAGTATGCTCTGCTGAGAACTTTCCGCTGATCCGTCGGTATTTCGAACCATAAGGGCGCCAGAGATCTCAAGGTGTAAAAGCGTCCACGCTTCGGTCAGCGAACACTCGGTCATATTTCGCCTCCATGCATTTGTGCGTGATCTCCTGGATGCTACAATATATTGCTGTACTGTGCTGCGTTTTACTAAACGCGCTGATTACTTGTACAACACAACTACGAAAACGGGTTTTCCATTGCCAAATGGTTTGAAAGAATGCGATAGTGTTTGACACCGATTTTGTAATTTCTTAGGTCTGGATGTGCGGTCATCTATCGTGTAGTGTGGGTGTTGACCAGTACTCTATAGCATGCTAACGTCGTGAATAAACCAAGAAAGTAAGCTGCAGTTTGGTATTATCGCCAGACGGCGTGCAGACTGCGAATCTTCAGCGTCCTCGACAAAAATCGCCGAACATCTGATCACGGGTCCTGCGAACATTTGCCACGCTTTACGAGACAGCGCGATGGGCCTCATTTACGATGCTGCTGGAGGATTGGGGGTATGTGGAACCGTTCGGGTTTTCCTCTTCTTTGGCCCTTTTTTCTCTCGCTCTTCTTGCTCTTTCCTGACACAACGGGCCTTACCGTCTTGCTTACCCCTACTCATGGGCGTAGGAACAGGGGGGGGGGGTCATGGCTTCCCCACTTTTCAGGGGGGGGACAGCAGTGTTACCTGCCCTCCCCCACTTTTCAGATTAAAGTTGTATTTGGCTTATTTTTGCAGTGCATTAAACATGCATGTCGGTTTATCTAGTTCACCAGCCATCTCCCTCAAGATGCGTCATCTTTTTCGTTTGCTCATTGGTTATCACTTAGTGTTACAGCCGCAAGGCCGACGCCGCACGACCTGGAGAGTGCAACGCCGGGCGTCGAGGCTGTTATTGCTATGACTTGCGAGCACGCACGTTCAGCACCATATTAGGTAGTTTTTATCAGTAATCAGATCTGACAGGATCTTGAGCATTATAAGACGAACATGTGCTAGCCATGTTAATGCAAATTATGAGCCCCATTTCATCTGCAATCTACAGTCAGGGAGAACTCAATATCTCTGAAAAACACGGAAAAAACATGGAACTGCAGTCCATGTGAAGACTATCGGACATCCAGCGGTGATCAGGGATGTTGTTGCGTCAATGAGGGTCCCTATGCCGATCCGGGGCTAACTGCGCGGATCAGAAGGCCTCCCGTGCCAGGGATGGGAACAATGTGATATAATATATCCTTCTAATGACCTCCGGATCGACCAGAAGATCCTGCCCCGTGCCACCAGAGTGATAGCCAGAAGACGCTTCGCGATGGGACGGAATGACCCTTCAGACCTTGACCGGAAACGGTAATGTACCCCTGGTGTTCCACTCAAGAGGCCCCTTGCCCGGAAGGGAATAAGGGGTCTAATTATTGTTGAGTATAGTAGGGCTCTCATTATTGTTGAAAAGCACGGGTCAAAATTAATTAAAGTGTAGTCGGTGTACCGTTTGCATTTGTAGTTTGATTAAGTGCTCGCTTCTCGTTTGTTGAGTCACGTAATTGCTATGATCTTGAGGTATAATTTAGTGTTAGTCAATCCATGCTATTTTCGTATTCATTTTGTATTGCTAATTTTAGTCTCTGTTCTGTTTGTTTCCGCTCCGTTTAGTTCTAGGTCATTCGTAGTTTGATTTAGTGCTCGCTTCTCGTTTGTTAAGTCACTTGGTTGCTATTATCTTGAGGTCTAATTTAGTGTTAGTCAATCCATGCTATTTTCGTATTCATTTTGTATTGCTAATTTCAGTCTCTGTTCTGTCTGCTTCCGCTCTGTTTAGTTCTAGGTCTAGTCTGTCCATTTCCGAGGTTTTGTTGTTTCCCTGCCAGCGTCCACAAGGGGTTGAGGCGTGGTGTTGGCGGTGGGCGGTCGTCAAATATAGTGCACCTGAAACCTCGGAGTCTTCGACGTGGCGGCCGTCTACAAAAGAAAGGAGCGAGGTCATGCCATGTTTGCCTGAGAACGTTTATTTCTTTCAGAATGTATTATTGAAACAAATTGCATCACAGGCTTGAACATGCCCGCCCGCAACCTCGAGAGCAAGGACAAGGATGGTCTGGGTTGCAACTTCCGTAAAACCGATACATTTCGGCTACTGCAAGTGCCACCAGACGGCGCGCGCCGTGTTAATCTGTCTTCTGGACAGATAAATAGCTACGGAAACACGAAAAGCAGAGATTTTACCTTCACTCTTCCAGTTCAACCACCAGATCCCAGCCCTACTTCGCGGTGCCTTAGGGGCCAATCCGTTCTTTTCATCAATCAAAAATTGCACGCGTGAAATATGCCCTCAGACTGCCTCCTAAGTACAAGATCTGATGTCATGAAGCGTCCAAGGATAGTTTCTCAGAAGCGTCGTCATTTTCGTCTACCCGTTGGCCACAACTTAACATTAGCTGCTAGGTCGAAGCTGCGCGGCCTACGGAGACTGCAACACCTGGAGTCGAGGCTTGTGTTTCTAAAATTTTCGAGTGCGCATGCTCAAAATTACGCCACATAACTTGTATAACCAGTTGATTTTAGTGTTTAAAGGTAATAATTTCAGAAGCGTCATTATTTTCGTTCACCGGCGGGCCACGGCTAAGTGTTAGCTACTGGGCCTGAGATGAAGAAGCTCCGCGGACTACGGAAACTGCAACGCCTGCTGTCGAGGTTTTTGTTGCTAAGATTTGCGAGCGAGCATGTTAAAAAACACGTTACAAGAATTGTATCACTTATCGATTCTGACTGAACGGTGAACATTTTCAGACAAACATGGCTTGACCATGTTAATATACATAGTTGACCACTCGATTTGCAATCAAATTTTCGTCTTCAAATTTGGATCAAACATATCGATCTACAATCTACCTTCGCGATGTCCTCAATGTCAGTACTGCCCAGATAAGAAATTCACAAAGCCTCTGAATTCTATCGGTTTAGAAAGAGTCGGCTAACCATTGTAAATTAAGGGCGCCGGTGGTTTCTTCCATGCAGTCGTTCGACGCCTGATTTCTTCAGCTTATTGGCTTTAAAATGCAAACAGAATTGAGCTCACGTTAGCTTCTGGTTTCTGTTCTGGTTATGAGGTAAAAATAACAATAAAACGAAGAAAACCGTGTCACTTGTTAACGAGTAAGCCATATCCGGGGATTTTTGTGTGTGTGTGGGGGGGGGGGTCACCATAAGGTGGGCTTCTGTCAACCCTGTGTTCCCTTTTGGCAAGGCTTTGGCTACACCCCTGCCTACACACAAAAGCAGATCAAGTTGCGTACGTTGTATGCTGGGCAATGAAGTGTCCGTTGGGCCAATCCACACCTAAGGCAGACAGCTTCTCGGAGGTTATTTTTCTGCAATGGTGTGGTATAAGGGAAGATAATTCGGGAAAAATACTGTTCCAGGTGTCCAACACATGTTTTATACACCATGCAGAAGTAACGCTGATCCAAAAGTATGCAAAAAAGCATCCACACGATCAGCTCGCAGTCAGTCATGCGGGAGACATCCAGGCCAGGGCAGTGACCGCCGACGGCGGACAGGAGCAGGGCCCAGATAAGGGACATATGATAGATGGGCCTTATTGATGTGGCTTCATTCTTAAAAGAAAATTTCCCGTTTTATGGATTTTGTCGCATTGTTTCTAGCAATTTCAAGCTCCCGAATTCGTTTTCGCCTAAAATGCTGCGACAAGTCTTATCTCTTAAAAAGCAACCAGCGAAATAAAGACGCATGAAAAACCTGGCGCACTGTGAGCCATCGATCCGCTTCCAAACTTCTTGTCAGCCTATCTCTATGCCGTATTTTGCCATCCGGACTGTGGAGGCAAATACTTCCATGATGACCCAAAATACCTACCCGCCCGTGGAATTTCGTTTCCGTGGGAAAGACAATGTTAAAATGGACGAATAATCTAGGGAAGCTGGATGGCCTTATTTGCCAAATGACAGATGAGTCGAAGAGGCATGATTGTGCATCAGTGATAAACAGCTCTAGATACATAGCTAGCATAGCAGCCATGACATTTGAATAAAGAGCGATAACAATCTCCATCCCTACCGTCCCCCCACCCCCCTACCCCACCCCCGCCCGGTCATCGGGCTCGCTTTCCAGAAAAGTTCCTGAAGTACACCCTGATCTTGCCCCCCCCCCCCCACACTTTTGAAACGCTCCTACGCTCTATGCCCCTACTGTGTTACTCTATCATCCCCTGCAAAAGCATATGCAAATCAGGTAAACCTTGTTTCCGGTACCCAGTGCAATAATTAATGAATATTTAGGATATTCAATACGCATATACACACATGCGTACCCAAATACAAGTGGAGAACGGATACCAACATCAGCCTTACATTTCCTGAGCATTAGTTTTAAATATCACAGATATTTCGTTCTTTTATTCTTGTTAGAGTTACCCCATCATATAAGGATTGGTTGAATATATGTGAGGGTACACTGCTTTGTATAATGTGAGGCCTCCCAGCGCACCTGGGGATCAGAGAGCGAAGTTTTTGCATAAGTCAAAATGATCAGTAATAATTGCGCTTATTCAAAGGATACGCATAGGGTTGTTGCTTTGATCCAGATATTTTCGTGGAAAATATACTTGTGTATCCTCTTACGAACTGACCCTTTAAATGCAGCCCTACTTACGGAGCATAAGACTAGGCAAACCTTTTTAAAACATTTATTTGCAACATGTTTTTTCATACGCAATATTGGGTACGCAGGTCTCTGTACCGCATTTATTTGTGCACAAACGTCTTCGCATCACATTCCTTCGTACACGCATTTCTTTACATCATGTATCTATGCATCGCATTTCTTCTCATGCGTGATTCGGAGCATTTATTTTCTTCGCATTCCGTTGTCTCGTACACTTTTTTTCTTTACACGGCATTTTCCGTGCATGATGTGCTTCAGATAAAATATGCGTAACTGATAGCAATAATGGACGACACGCATCTCCTTATGCGGAATGCCGATATAAGCGCCCTGGACTAGGCGGAGACCTCCCTGATCAGATAACGTTGCAGCTACCTAGAGGTTACCGTGGAATCTTCTAGCGTGCTTGGCTCTGGCACCAAAACGGGGCCAAACATCGCCCCGCCGGTTAAAGGCCCAAACGCACCAGATGTGACCGCTGCCATTTACTGCCAGAAGCAGTGAAGAGATGGACGTAAAGTTGATAGAAACGCCTCGCCTAGCATGAGCGGACCCCAATGGTGGATTTGTCTTTTGCCGGACCTGACAGCCGTACATTGTGCCGGTGAGACGCTCGGTCGGCTTGATGAGTCGGTCCTCCACGTGGGCCGCGCAGAAAACCTCCCGAATGTGCCCCCATCATAGCGCTGATGGAGGAGTTGGCGACTCAGTCAGCTATGAAGTGTACAGGGTCGGCTGGAAGCTGCGTCCGCCAATAAACTGAGGCGTTCCGTTGTTCGTTCTCGCTACCTCTTTCTTCTCAACTCTTTGGTCGCCATTCCCCGCCTTACTTGGAAGTAATTTGATAATCCCTAAGTCTAAATTATGATATTCTGTTTCTTCATGTGACCCTGTATAGTTGATGCGTGTCCTGACTGTCCTCAGAGCAATGGAAAGAACGTAATGTGCGGAAAAGAGGAATACCAATACTTCTGTATGCGAGTAAATACGGTATGAAGAAATGCGTATGTGACGAATTGCAGTACGAAGAAATGCAATGAGAATAACTACGTATGCGAAGGAATACGATACGAATGATCGCGTTTACAAAGGATATACGTAACAGGAACTGATGGGAAGAGATGCGCATGCGAAGAAACGCGGTTTGAAAAATTGCGCGTGCGAAGCTTTGCTGGTGTAAAGTTTTGCGTTACGAAAGTTTCTCCGTACACATTTTTGCGTTTACTGAGATTAGCACGAATGTTCGCGCACGAAGACATGCGTGACGGAGAAATGCGATACGAAGTTTTGCCCTGAAGCCTGCAGAATGGCCATGCGAAACGTAGAGATTCTCAGGAACTTGAGCATGCATTTAATGCACATGCAAGAACAGTGACGAATAAAGCTCATGATGGTAATAAAATGATAGTAACGAGCTCAATATTAGAAAATGTGCACACAGTTCAGTCTAACAAGCACCATAATTCAAGTCCACTCGCCATGCCATTGCTAAGAAGTCGATATGTTTTGCCTGGATCGTGGGGGTATTTGATTCCTTCGGATGTCGCGCGTGGGTGACTGGCAGCCACACAAAACATGCGCAGAAGAAAGCATACGCGACTTTATGCGAACACCTGAACCTTATACTTATCTGTTTGCAGTGACGTAGCCAATATTTCGGCTAGGAGGGAGCCAAATTCAATCATGTGGCCCCTTTCAGTCGAAAGGGACCCTTTTTGTTGCTATAGGGACTCTGGTTTTGGATTTGAGGTCCTCTTCAGGCTTACAATCCTATTTCGATGTTTTGGGCTCGTTTTGTTGTTAACATTTTAGAAACCCTTCTGGTGTCTTAAGCTGCCAGAAGTGCTGGGTCTTTCGGCCCACAGGGTTCCCGCCCGCTCCAAGGGGATGGGAGGCATGCCCCCAAAAGCTTCCTCTTTGGCTACACCACTGTCTATCTGGCGGACGCCATTACCGTCGCATGTTATGTGTGTGTAGGCACCCTGTGGATGGAAACGCTAGGCCAAGGAAATCTTCTCATCGCACCTCATGGATCACACAAGCGTCATCTCATGCCTATTTAGTATTTCCCACACCGAAGCCGAAGTTCAGTATTTCGGCACCATGAGCCTGCTAGGCTCATGAAAGATGGACATTCCACTCCCTCGTTACGGCATATTTTTTGCATGATTTCATGTTTCTTATCGCTTTGCTCATCCCACGCTGGGAAGGCTTTTTACTGGTTGTATCCCTGTAGGATAAACATTGCGTTCCCAAAGAATAAGACGTATCGTTTAGCTCGTGAAGATGTAACACCTGCTAGGTTTTGGGCGTTTTCGGAGAGGTCTCCGATTTGCAGTTACCGTGGACTTACCTTTCGATGGGCTATCTGGCAGCAATAAGTTATCTGGCAGATGTTTTCATGGTCAACAGGCTTTCGAAGTTGCGGTCGAGAGGCAGAGGGTCCGATTCGTTAAGCCATACAAGCTTACGCGGTTCCAGTTTTATTTTCACGGCCATTCAGTTGGTGAAATTGATAAATAACGTTGGTAGCTGAACGTATTCAAGAAGTAAAAACTAACGAGGCCGTTAGTGTCTGGATCCCGATGGGTAGCTTTTGGTGGGGCTGGGCTGTTTCTCAGTTGCTCTCAAACTTGACATAACAATTGATTATACCCAGTGGCACCGGCCTTGAGTTCCAGCAACCTATCACTGTTGTAAAGCACTTGTTCCAGCAACAAATGTTGTGTCTCGGCTTCCCATTTTATTTGCATCGCTGCATGCGGTGCCCGTATTTGTCTCGTGAGCATCTGTGTCAGGTTGGAAGGGCGGCTGTCGAGTTGAGGGAGAGGACGGGTACTAGGCCATAAGGTGGGGAAGACATGCCCTTCGAAGTCGGAACTCAGTGCTAGCCTACGTCCCTGATTTGTGACTGCGACCGCGCAAGAATTACGATATTGTTATTTTGCGAGGATGCAAGGTTAATTCCGAGCTAGGTAAAAACCGAGGATATTGTTGGGAAGCAAAATGGAGAACCCATGCCTTTTGTCAAGATGCGTAGGTCGTTCTTTAGAGATATTTCCTTCAGGAAAGGTGTTTTTCGCATGGTTTATCAAGGAGGAAATTATTTTCTGTTGCTCTTCAATTATTCCCCTGCTACAAACTTTGCACAATTTTGTTTTCACTGATATGGTATTCTTGGTAGCCATACTCTAAACTACATATCTTGCGCATCTGTTACATTCCCGTAATCGCCGATAAAACACAACAATATATTCTAGCGTCGGGAGGCGAGTTCGTGTGGAGTGTCGGCGTCTGTTAAGGTAGCGAATGCAGGTTTGCAGGGTTAGGTCCACCCTTTCGAACGCGACCTGCTCCGCAGGTTTTTCTTGTTGCCTTAATTTAATCTCTGTGCACACATGTTTAGGTGACGTGCAGAGTAGAGGTCGTGAATTTATGATAGCCGGTCGCGCGGGTCTGTCATGCTTTTCTGCTATAATGCTGTTTTTTTCCATAAATGTGGCGAATTTTCCCTACAGATGTTTTGTATGTGCTCCAGAGGAATGGCTCAGGGTGGCCATTATGCTCCTCTGATGATGTCTTTTGTCAACTCTAATTGTTGGCTCATGTCCAATGTCTTTAACTCTTAACATCATGTGGTGCTCAATTTCTCTCCTAGTATGTTGGCTGCTGCATATGTGGACATATTTTTGGTTGAGGACTGGATTGGGCGTTTTTTTAAATTAAAGTGACAGCGTGTTCAGGAATTATATGATGCACAAAGCAGTGCAGGTAAGAAACACAAACATGCTTTCAGTGCATGCAATAAGTATACACTGGGACTTACAAGTATGTGCTTTGAAATGGGTCTGAGCCTCTCCATCATACCTGTCTTTTTTAGAGTGAAAAAGTGTAAATTGTTCCTTGATTTGTTTTCTCAAGGCCTTTCTTATCAACAGCTTTTTGGTGTAGTCTTTTCTCAAGAGGTCATTTTCTTTTGGAAAGATGTTTTTCATGATATTTGTTATGGAACTACCAGTCATTGCTTCATCACATGGTTGTTATTAGCAAAATTGGCTTAAACTTTATGAAACAGGGGTGAAAATATGTGTACAATGCAAATAAATATTCAAAATTTAATTTAATTCAATTCAGATAATACTCAGTATTTTATATTCAAATCGCTTGCATTGAATAATGTAAAACATGCCATAGGCAGATAATTTATGCCCTGAGCAGTACTTTTAAAACTGCTAATTTTGACATCAGGAGATCCGGTTTCATTCCAGAGGTAATTCCAGTGGCATTGCTTCAAAGATTAGCCATTGAGCAAGTTTATAAAACATACCAGACAACTATTGACGTAATGAAGCATGTCTTTTTATAAACAAGTTTCAGTTGATAGTCACTGCATGTGGATACATGCAGTTTATTGTTTTAGGGCAACAGAATTCCCAATATTTTCCAAAGCCATGTGTATAATGGGGTGCATAAGGAAAGAATCCCACGTCACAACCTCAATCCTAAATCCCATGTACGTCCCAACATTTTTTGTTCACCAAAATTGTGCTAGGGCTGGAGTTATGCACAAGTGTGCTTGCAAGAACATATTTTGATCAACTTGTGAATTCACATAAATCCAAAACATTCAGCCTACCAAAAGGACCAATTCATGACATAGATCTAATGTGGTCAGTAGTGCCATAACTTAGCTAAAACACAGTGTGTGTTTGGCCTTGGCAGGTACGGCCTGCAGCCAGCAGCAGCTGCCACATTAAAGATAAGTTGATGTCAGAGGGCAGGATGAACCATGCCAAACGCTGCAGCATGGTAAACTTTTACCACCAAATTTTGCATTGACATGGATTTGCATAATCATGTGGTAGAGGCCAGGCCTCATCCAACATGTAGTGCTTAGCATGGCTCTGATCTCACAAACCATCCATTCAGAAGGTTTGGATTGATCTTTAGAAATATGTGGCCAACTGTGGGAACTTTATAAGCATTTCTGAGATTGGTTACTGGCTGCTACACTGATGTATGTGGCTATGCTTGAAGTAATATAGTTCTGCTTTCAACTTATGGCAGTTTTTTGGACATACCTTGCAGTATACCAGATTTTTAAAACAACTTGTCTCCAGCTGGTTGTGAGCAAGTGGTATGCAAGGCCTTTCCAAAAGTGTGTGGAGACCTTCTGTTTAAAAATGTAAAAAAATTATTTTGGCTTCATATGTCAGATTCATAAGATTCATCATTTATCAGAATTTGTCCCATTTTACATCATTGTTTCATGGTAACATTACCCATACATATACATAACATATTTTGTTCCCCAAAATATACTGAAAGTCTACCCATTGCTGACAAGCTCAGCATCAATGACTGTTTTGTGAAAAAGCTGACCAGTGCTTGGAAGCCTTATGGTGAATGAAGTACCAATACAGTGATGTGAAGCTCAGATACTACTGCTATGGAAGGTACAGGCCTTGGTGTTGAGCTATGATGCTGACTTATGTGCCATTAGGTGTTCAAACTTACCACTTCATTGTTCAATATGCCCAAAGAATTATTCCATTGTGAAGCTGATGCAATTGTTCACCCTATGCTGTCAAACAGATTATGGATGTAGAATTCTGTTCAGTGGCTTGCTCACAGTGTCCCAAGACATGTCACTGGTAGGTGCTGCTAGGCCTTGGCTAGTGCTGCCCTATGTGCGAGTTGACCTGAGCCGTGACCTGAGGGCTGGTGGGGAGTTGTGTATCAGGCCTGAGCAGTTGTTTCACCTTCTTATGAGGGCTGTATGTCAGAGGAAAGGAAGATGGAACAGGCACTGTTCTTGACATACCCCAATTAGGCATTTAAACTGTGCTTATGGTTTGGACAGGATAACTTAATTGGTTCATGGAGACTGGGCCTGCCACCAGTGGGAATACCTTCCTGCTGTTAATGACTGCAGTGATTAGGACGTTATGTCTAACTCTTGGGTCAGCCCAGAGCTGCCGGAGTTTCTTTTTGCGACCCTCTTATGTGTCAACGCAGCTTGACGTGTAATTTGACCGCATTTCATCCATCCGGTGAAATAGTCAAGCGATCTTGATAACAGTCGATACCACACTAAGTTTACAGTATAGTTTGTAACTGATGCCGTCGCGCGTGTGGTGCAGAGCACTAACATCATATGATGTGTCCAATTTTCGACTGGCTCAACACGCAGGGTTTATGGCTCGAAAATCACCAAATTTGGTGCGTGGAGTTCTTTGACTGTGGAATGCTATCAAAGGCCTGCTGTTATTTTGGAGAACCCATTAAAGGCCTTGATCTTTTTGCGCAAGCATTGTAAATAATAGATCGTGACACTACGGTTTCTACAGCACCGATGAAAGCCAAACCATCCAGACCACCCAATGCTTGGAAATACAAAATATCTTGCAAATCCCAAATACTAATTGGCATGTCACCTTCCAGTAGCAACTGTTTCCTACGACATGGATCATGCTTAATTTTCACGGATTCTCTGTTAGACGTCGGTAACCACACACTAACGTGCACAGTGACGCGCCGCTGTTTTCCCGCGCCGCCCGAGCTGGTCAGTACCGAGCCGCCTGAGCCTGTTAGGGCCGCGCCAGCCGAGCTGGCCGGTGCCGTGCCTCGTGAGCTGGTCAGTGCCGCGCTGCCCGCCGCTCCAGAAGCGCCTCTGCCCCACAGGCGGCGGCGCTATGGGCACCATGCAGCGCTCAGCGGTGCTGAGCGGCCGCAAGCGCTTCCAGGTGACCTACGTGATCCGCGATGAGGTGGAGCGTCGGCACCGGGCCGGCGTCAACTCGCTGCAGTACGACGCCCATCTGCAGCGGCTCTTCACCGCTGGCCGCGACGGCGTCATCAGGTGAGAGTCAGAGGCGTTATCAGGTGAGAGTCAAAAGCGTCATCAGATGAGAGTCAAAGGCGTCATCAGGTGGGAGTCAAAGGTGTCACCAGACAACAGGTGGAGATTTTAGGACTGATGCAGGGACGTCATCAGCCAAAAAAGGTGAGA